ATATACCACAGTTTGTTGATCCATTCGTGGATCGATGGGCACTTGGGCTTCTTCCATGACCTGGCAATTATGAATTGGGCTGCAACAAACATTCTGATACAAATATCTTTGTTGTAATGTGATTTGAACTTCTTTCAAAAATAATTTATCTTTAAAATTTTTTATGGACACCTAAGATCCTCTCACAGCACCACAGTTGACAATCCCTGCTGTAGAAGAGCATTTTAACAAGATAATTGGACCCAGAGGCCTGATGAGGTCTAAGTCTGGCTCTTTTTGTCTTTCGCAGGACTCGTGTTCTTCCTTGCCAGCTGGCTGCCCTTGCTCCTCAGCCAAGGGCTCCAGAACTGTTATTTGATCACCTCTGTGATGACCCTGTGGTGTCATTTACAAAGCAAAGTCTCCCTGTTTATTTACCAGTTTGCTGAGCTGATTCCCTCTAGCATCCTGTCATGAATGGCCACAAGTGGTTTTGTGTTATTCTGAAGGCATTGGAACATGTTTGCTGTGTTTTTCTTGTTATGTTACACCTAGTGAAGCCCCTCTCAGGCCAGGGGGGTCTGCAGGCTGGGAACCCTCTGGCCTAGCATGGGGGCCTCTCAGTTCCCTTCTTTGATTTTGGCCTCTCCTGCCCTGGATCTAGAATCAATCATTTCTGTAAGGACGTCTACTGCAGACCTCTAAAGAGAGGTTTACATTGGGGAGGCCCCCTTGCTGCAGGGGGAGGCTGTTGGCTGCAGGACTGGGGTGGGGATGGGGGCACAGTTACTGAGGCCCAGGCAAAATCCCAGTAGCCTTCATGCTTGGAGTAGCACACCAGGCCAACAGGTGGGAGGCCAAGGCTCCAGGCAAAGCTGAGTGGGAAGAGCACCCACACAGGAGTATTTCACCTCACCATGTGTTCTCAGCTCCACCTACTGAAAAAGCTACAGAAACATTTGCCAAACCAGCTCTCATCTGAGGCAGACCATGCTCTTCAAATACCATGTCCCAGGTACCTCTGCCATTCCCCTCTGTCTCTTCTTCCAGTCTCTGTGGCTGTTTCAGTAGTTGCCCTGAAACTTAGGACTTGGAAGGACAATATTTATTTTGTCATGAGTTTGGCAGGGACAGCTGGTCTCTGCTGGACCCAGTAGCAGCTGGGGCTGGATCCTGGAGCTCCCTCGCTTGCCAGCTGTGTGTGCCTCCCTCTCTGCCTTGTCTCTCATTCAGTCTCTCTCTTCCTCTCGCCTTCCCTTGCTACTTCTGTTTTCTCCCTCTCTCCCCTTCTACCCTCTTACTCTTTCACAAGGCTGCTGAGCAGGGTCCTCACCCTGGTTCTCATGTGGACACCCATACGAGGCCTCTCATGTGGCCTGGGCTTCCTCAGAACATGATGGCTGGGTCCCAGCATGAGCTTCCTAAGACAGGAGCAGGTGGATGCTATGTCTTTTCTATGACCTAGTCTGTGAACTGGAATGGTCACAAGCTTTAATCAAGAGGGAAGCTGTTGACAACACCTCCTAATGGGCGTGTCAAGGTTCTGAAAAAAGGGGAACATTGCTGACACTCTGCATGCCTGGTCCCAGTAGTGTGCAGTGCAGATTTGTAGATTGGGGCTTGTTGAAAACATCCCTGCCTGGCCTCTGGGCTTCAGGACTCTGTCCTCTGTAGTCTGCCAACCCCTGCCCCCGTGAGCAGGCAGTCAAAGGCTGTGCCCAGGAAGAGTCTGGGGTAGGATCTGCCTCTGCAGCAGGCACCACACCCCTTTGTCTCCAGCCTTCAGGTTGCCGCTTCCCACCACTATCTAGCTCCCCACAGCTGTGCTCTCTCCTACTCCTGGGCTTCTGCTCTGGCCACACCTTGACCAGAACGTCCTCCCACATGCTTCATCCTCTGCTTGTCAGTGTCAGTGTGCTCAAGAAACAGCTTGTTTGTGGCTAAAGTGCACCTGTCCTCCCACACTGTTCCTTCTTTCCCCTCAGAAGAGGTGCTGGTAGATCCAGAAATTGGTCCAGAGAGCAGGGAGGAGTGGCTCAACCTAGCAAGTGGTTCTGGGGTGGGGGGAAGTCTGCCTGCACCTCAGATTTGGTGGACATGTCCCAACTGCTACCTAAGCAGCCTCTCTGGAGCGTCTGCCCTGCGAGTGGAACAACACAGATTCCAGGGGGCAGAGGTCTTTCTAGTATTTGCTTTTTAGTTGTTTACTTTCAAAATTTTCAAGGTGGAGTCCTTTTTGCCTAAGGCAGGCAACAGGCAACCTTTGATCTCCCCTTTGCATCTGCCTCTCCTCCTTAGTACCTGGAGGACGGTCTGTCCTCAGGGCCTGCAGACTGCTGTCCACAGGTTGGGAGGTTGAATCAGAATAGAATCTGTTATTCTGGGCAGTCTGGCTGGAACAAGGGTGCTCAGTGGAGGGTGTACTCGATCTGCTGGGCTTGGCCCTCACTTGGCATCTCTGTCTGTTGTCTCTGCTGTGTGCTTGTCAGATGCACATGCTGAACCAGGGTCCTCTCACAGCACACGTTTGTGGGGTGTGCCCTGAAAACAGCTTCATTAAGCAGCTCTCGGAAGAGTTCTGAGCATGGGCCAACTCGTTACAGGGAAAGGCTGTGTACAGATGCATGCATAGGGAGAGAAGGGAGGGTTGTATCTGTCACATTGCTTTCTGTCAACATAGTGCGCAGTGGGCTTTGTCTCCCTTGACCCGAGCAGTTAAATAAGAACGTGGTAACTTTAATTTTTGACTTAATTTCTTCTTTCTCCTCATTCACTTTTATGATATTGGAAGAGTTTTGGAGACAAATAGCTCACAAAATAAATTTTCTAATGCTTAGAAACCAAACTCTTTTTTTTTTAAATTTTATTTCTTATAGTATAACTGTGTACATTAATGCAATCATGGGGTACTGTGTGCTGTTTTCATATACATTTTGAAATACTCTCATCAAACTGGTTAACATAACCTTCATGTCATTTTCTTAGTTAGAAACCAAAATCTTGTGGTATTTATGTTCCAATTTTTTTTTTTTTTTTTTAAGAAATGCAGAAAGGGCTGGGAAACTCAGGTGTTTACTCTGTTAAAACCAGTGTGTTTCTGTCTTTTTTCCTTCCTGTTTCTTTCTCTCTTTTTGGAAACATAGCTGCAGATAGTAAGGATGAAGAAACCAAAGTGCCCCCCGGGCGGTCCTACCTGGGTATGTACTGAGCTGCATGAGGCTGCCCACGCCACTCACATCCTTTTCTGCAGCTGTGCTGCTCTGTCGTCACCATTGTCTATGTACCCTTGTGACTATGCATGTGGGTCCTTTTATTAATGCTAAGTGTGGCCGTGTCCCTGGCAAACTAACCAACCCCCAACTCTGCTATTTTCAAGTGAGAAGTTCCTAGAAGTCTGTCACTGTGTGTATGTGTGTGTGTGAGAGACAGAGAGGGAGAGAGGAGGGATATAGGATGGAGGGAAGGAAGGAGCAATTTTCCGATTATAAATTTTGGACTTCCTTTGTTAAATTTATTCCTAAGTATTTTATTTTTTTCTGATGCTTTCATAAATAGAATTGTCTTAATTTCATTTTGATTGTGCATTGCTACTTTGAAGAAATAAAATTGTTCCATATCGATTTTGTATTGTACAAGTTTGCTGAATGCATTTGTTAGTTCTAATAGCTGTTTAGTAGATTCCTTAGGATTTTTTTTATACATTATTCTGTCATCTTTAAATAGGGCTAGTTTTACTTCTGTCTTTCCAAATTGATTTCTTTTTATTTTTTTTATTACTTAATTACCCTGGTTAGAAGTGGAGAGAATGGATATGCTTGTCTTGTTCCTGATTTTTGTGAGAAAGTGTTAAGTCTTTCACCATTAAGTATGATGTTAGTTATGGATTTTTTTATAGTCGCCTTTTATTAGGGTAATGGAGTTCTCTTCTATTCCAAATAGGTTGAGTGTTTTTATCATGAAGGAATGTTAGAATTTACCAAATACTTTTCTGTGTCTGTTGAGATGATCATGTTTTGATTTTTGTATGTTGAACCAACCTTGCAGTCTTATAACTGAATCTTATTTAAACACAGTGTTATATCATACTTTTTATCTGTTGCTGGATTCTGTTTGTTAGTGTTATGTTGAGGATTTTTTGTGTCAATATTTAAAGAGATAATGATTTGTAGTTTTCTTGTGATTACTTCATCTGGTGTTAGTATTAGGATAATAGTGGCCTTATAAAATAAGTTGGGAAGTATTCCTCCTTTTCTAATTTTTTTGGGGGGGAAGGGGAAGGATTGATGCTAATTCTTTAAACATTTCGTAGAATTATCCTATGAATTATCTGGGCCTGGGCTTTTCTTTGGGGAAGTTTTAAAATTACTAATTCTAGGCTTGGCGCCCATATCTCAGTGGTTAGGGCACTGGCCACATACACCAGGGCTGGTGAGTTAGAACCCAGCCTGAACCTGCTATATGACAATGACAACTTCAACAACAACAACAAAATAGCTGGGCATTGTTACGGTCACCTGTAGTCTCGGCAACTTGGGAGGCTAAGGCAGGAGAATTGCTTAAGACCAAGAGTTTGAGATTGCTATGAGCTGTGACAAGGGGACATAGGGAGATTGCTAGGCACTCTACCAAGGGGACATAGGGAGATTCTGTCTAAAAAAAAAAAAAAAATTACTAATTCTTATTCAGTCTCTAGTTATAAATGTAAGATTTTCTGTTTCCTGAGTTAGTTTTGGTTGTTTGTCTGTTCTGGAATCTGTTTATTTCACCTAATTTCACTTACCTAATTTATTGCCATACAATTTTTGTTGCTATTCCCTTTTTATTCTGTGAGGTCATTAGTAACAGTCCTTAAAATCCCTTTTATTTCTGTGAGGTCATAAGTAACAGTCCTGTTTCCTTCCCAACATTAGGCATTTGAGTCCCCTCTGTACCTTTATTGCTAAACTCTAGATAAAGACTTGTCAATTTTATTGTTCTTACTAAAGAACCAACTTTTGGTTTTGTTGATTTTCTTTATTTTTCTTCTCTAGTTTATTTAATTTCACTCTAGTATTATTTCTTTCCTCCTGCCTGCTTTGGGTTTAGTTTGATCTTTTCCTAGCTTCTTAAAAGTGTCAGGTTAAGTTACTGACTTGAGTTTTTTCCCCCCTTCCTTTTTAACATAGGCCCTGTTAGCCATAACTTCTTTCTGCATCTTATAGTTTTGGTATGTTGTATTTTTGTTTTCATCCAGTTGAAAGTATATTCTAATTTTCTTTGAGATTTCTTTGAAATACTCATTCCTAAGTGTTTATGTATGAGTGTGTTAACTACTACATATTTGCAAATATCTCAAATTTCTTCCTGTTAATTGATTTCTAATTTATTCCCATTGTGACTGTAGAACATACTTTGTATGATTCTAGTACTTCTAAATTGCAGCTTGCCTTATAGCCTTGCATATGGTCAGTCCTGGAGAATATTCCATGTGCATATGAAAGGAACGTGTAATTTTGCTGCTGAGCAGAGGTGGAGGGCTGCCTGTCAGGTCTAGGTGGTTTGTGGTGTTCTGTTCCCTTATTGTCCTTTTGCCTAGTTGTTACATCAGTTACTAAAAGTGAGTGCTGAAATCTCCAACTATTTTTGAATTATCTTTTTTTCTCTTTTCACTTGTTAGTTTTGACTTAATGTATTTTGAGGCACTGTTGTTAGGTGCATATGTGTTTATAGTTGTTGTATCTTCCTGACATATTGACCCTTTTATCATTATATGTCTCTATTTATTTCTAGTAATATTTTTTGTTTTTAACTCTACTTTTTTGTGACAGTGTCTTGCTGTTTTGCCCAGGATAGGGTGCAGTGGCATTATCATAGCTCACAGCAACCTAAACTCCTGGGCTCAAGCAATCCTCCTGCCTCTGCCTCCCAAGTAGCTGGGAATACAGGCATGTAATCAGGTATTAGCCTGACCAGTTTTTTAGTTTTTTTGTAGGTCTGATTTTTTTTAGTTTGGGGGGTCTTGCTATATTACTTAGGCTGATCTCAAGCTCCTATGATCAAGCAATCCTCTCACCTTGTCCTCCCATAGTGCTAGGATTATAGGCATGAGCCACCATGCCTGGCCAAGCTCCACTTTTTCTGATATTAGTATCAGATTTCTTATAGTCACTATTTGAATAGTATATCTTTTTCTATTCTTTTACTTTTGACTTTTTTGCATCTTTGAATCTAAAGTATCTTCTATAGAAAGCATATAGTGGGTATTTAAAAACTTCATTTTGGCACTTCTTCCCTTTGATTTGTTTCATTCCCATTAATGTTATGTTTGGATTTACATCTGTACTTACTTTTCCTTTTCTAGTCTTGTGTCTTTTTCCCCCAATCGTTGCTCCTGTATAGCTTCCTTTCATATTAAATGAATATTTTCTAGTGTAACATTTTAATTTCTTTAATAATTTTTTACGATTTTTAAAAATTATTTTCTTAGTAGTTACCCTAAGACTTACAATATGCATCTTAACAGGTTCTAATTCAATTTTATACTAACTTAATTCCTTTTTATGGTATGATTACTATAAATATTATGTCTACATATGTTACAAATCTAACATATTTTTCTAATTGTCCTTTGTATAGAATTTTATGTCTTTCAAAGAAGTTGAGAGAAGCAAGGAGAACAAACATATTTACAGAGTTATTATTTTAACTTATTTACTATTTCTGGTTCTCTTCAAATTCTTTGAATTTGTATTACCATCTGCTGTCATTTCCTTACTCCAACATAGTTTTGATCCCAACCATCTTATTTGTATTGTTAATTGTCAAATATATTATATTACTATATATTAAAGGCCCCCAAATAATACAATACATATTGTTTTATATAGTTACTTTTTAACTCAATTAAAGAGAAAAAGAGAAGAAATGTTCACTTATATTTGCTCTTATGATAATCTACATAATTACCTTTACCTACACTCTTTGTTTTTCTTGTGGATTTGAATGTCATGTGCTTTCAGCATGAAGAATTCATTTAAGTGTTTTCCTTAAGGTAGGTTTGCTAGCAACAAATTCTCCCAATTCTTGTTTATCTGAGAATATCATTATTCCCTGTATCCCTGCAGTTAAAAAAAAGTTTTGCTAGATGTAAGAATCTTGGTTGACAGTGTTTTTTCTTTTCAGCACTTTGAATATGTTATTCCACTGCCTTCTGGACTCCATTGTTACTGATGAGAAGTCAGCTGTTAATCTTATTGGGGTTTCCTTGTAAGTGATATATTATTTTTCTCTTGCTGCTTTCAAGATTTTTGTCTTTTTTTTTTTTTTTTGGCATTGAACATTTAGACTGTGATATGTCAAGGTATGGATCTCTATTTTTCATCCTTGGAGTTTGTCAAGCTTCTTGGGTATACAGATCAATCTTTTCATCATATTTGGGAAGTTTTCTGTCATAATTTCACTGAATAGTTTTCTTACCCCTTTCTCGACTCTCCTACAGTGCACCTGTCATGCATATGCTCCTGCACCTCATGTTGTTCCATGTTTCTCTGAGGCTCTGTTCATTTTTCTTAGTTCTATTTTTTCTTTGTTCTTCAGGTTGCATAATCTTTCTTGATCTTTAAGTTCACTGATTCTACTGCCAACTGAAATCTATTGTTGAATCCTTGTACTGGGCTTTCTTTTTTTTTAATTTTTATTTCAGTGGTACTTTGCAAATCCTGAATTTCCTTTTGGCTGTCTTCAATAATTTCTGTTTCTTTATTGATATTCTCTATTTAGTGAGATGTTATATTTTTAATTCTTTATGTATGTTTTCTTTAGTTTCTTTGAACACATTTATAATAGTTATTTTGAAGTCTTTTTCTACTAAGTACAGCATCTGTGCCTCTTCAAAAGCAATTTATTTCCTGTTATTTTACTCATCATATAGGGACTACGTTTTCCTGTTTCTTTGTATATCTAATTTTTTTGTTGTTGTTGCAAACTGACATTTTAGGTAAAATATAGTAGCAATTATAAATACTGATCTTCCACTTGGGGGGGAAGGTAGCTTGTTTTTTGCTTTTTTTGCTCATAATTTATCTGGACTAGTGTCATCTCTGAGCCTCTTCTTCCCCAGGCACGGTAATGACCTTGCTTGCCTTGGCTTTTCCTGATCCCTGGGGCAGGATCTGGTAATGCTCTGGGGTGTATTAGAGGGTAATGCCCAGCCAGGCTG